GGGGGGGGGCGGGGGGGGGCCGGGTCGTGCGCACGCGCCGCCCTCTGCGGCGCGGCGAACCCCCCCCTCCCCCGGCCCGCGTCGCTGTCTGTCGCCCTCCTCGCCTCTCTCTGTCTCTCTGTCTGTCTCTCTCTGTCCCTATCCCTGTCTTTTTTTTGTTTTGTTTGTTCTCTCTCTCTCTCTCTGACTCACTCTCTCTCTCTCTCTCTCTCCTTTTTTTGTTATCTCTCTCTCTCTCCTTTTTTGTTTTCTCTCTCTCTTTTTCTGTCTATTTCTCTCTCTCTCTCTCTCTTTTTCTGTCTCTCTCTCTCTCTGTGTACATGTGTATGTGTTTATATACATCTACATATATATATATATATATATATATATATATACATGTGTACCGTTGCACCCCGCATATGCGGATGAGAATGAGGAGGCGGTGGGGACGTCGGCAGTTTGCGAGACTCTGGAGAAGCCCGCCGCAGGCGCCAACGTTTCAAAAAGTATACAAAAAGCCCGCCGCGGGCGCCGATGTAGCTGGTTAATCCAATGTGGGTAGGTCGCGGGTGGGTCGCGGGTGGGTCGTGGGGTGGGTCGCGGGTGTAGAGGGCAGAAAGTCCACCCCATAATAATCATCCCGGCAAGCGATGCCGCTTACTAATCGCACACAAGGAATGAATCAAACAAGGCAGGGCTGTTGAATCAACGCCAAGGGCCGTTTTAGCTAAAGTCAATTGTCGGGTCCGGGTGGTTTTTCCTCCCTTGAGTGTGGGTCGTGGCGTGGGTCGCGGGTGGGTCGTGGGGTGGGTCGCGGGTGGGTCGCGGGGAAGGTCGCGGGGTGGGTCGCGGGGTGGGTCGCGGGAAGGTCGCGGGGTGGGTCGCGGGTGGGTCGCGGGAAGGTCGCGGGTGGGTCGCGGGGTGGGTCGCGGGTGGGTCGCGGGTGGGTGGCGAGTGGGTCGCGGGTTGGGTCGCGGGTGGGTCGCTGGGTGGGTCGCGGGGTGGGTCGCGGGGTGGGTCGCGGGGTGGGTCGCGGGGTGGGTCGCGGGTGGGTCGCGGGCGGCGACAACAAACAACAACAACAACCACCACCACAACAACAACAACCACCACAACCACCACCACCACCACATCAACAACCACCACCACCACAACAACGACAACAATAATTTCAAGACTGTTCGCCCATATTTGCTCGAGTGTCCAATAACTCGTATTTCCCAAACCCTCAATACCCGCGCTCTTCGTCTTCGATCGAGCCCCTTTTGGAAGGTATACCTTTCTTCTCTGCAGGCTGGGCCCCGGCAAGCGGCGGGGCGGCCGCGGACCGTCGGCCTGGCCAGCGGCAGCGCTGATCGGCGGGGCGGCCGCGGACCGTCGACCCGACCCCAAGAGGGACGGACAGGGGACCGACCACGACGACGACGACGCCGACGACGACGACGGCGACGACGACGACGGCGACGACAACGACGAGCGAAAGCGAGAGCGAGAGAGAACGACAGCAGGGCCACGAAGGACACGAAGTAGGCCACGAAGGGCGACAGCGGGGACACGATGGAGCAACGAAGAGCGCGAACGAGCGGGGGCCACGAAGGGCAGATCATGCGGGGCCACAGAAGGCAACGATGGAGCCACTGAGGGTAGCAACTGCGCCACGTAGGACAGTGAGGGGGCCACAAACGGCGACAGCGGGGCCACGAAGGGCATGCACATGGGGCCACAACGGGCGCGAACGAGCGGGGGCCACGAAGGGCATACGTATGTATGTTGGGCCGCGGAGGGCAAGGACGGGGCCACTGAGGGCAGCAACGGGGCCACGAAGGGCAGCGAGGGGGCCACGAATGGCGACAGCGGGGCCACGAAGGGCATGCATATGGGGCCACCAGGCCACCACGGACATGAACGAGCGGGGGCCACGAAGGGCATACATATATGGGGCCACGAAGGGCAGCGAGGGGGCCACGAAGGGCTGCAACGGGGCCACGAAGGGCAGCGAGGGGGCCACGAAGGGCTGCAACGGAGCCACGAAGGGCTGCAACGGGGCCACGAAGGGCAGCGATGGGGGCCACGAAGGGCTGCAACGGGGCCACGGAGAGCAGCGAGGGGGCCACGAAGGGCTGCAACGGGGCCACGAAGGGCAGCGAGATCCCGATTCCTAGGTAATCTGTGAGGGAATCCTAAGCGTGAGCGCGACTCATGGGTGCATGG